GATCAAAGTTGTTCTCGGTAAAAAGGTTTTACACTTTCACGTACAACTTACACTTTAGACACTCAGTTTATAAAGAAATGCGCGTAACATAACTTCTGGAATACAGTAATTAGGCTTTCCTTTGACTCAATTTGAGGATCACAAAATTTAAACGCGTGATTTTGAAGAACTTGGTGCTCTTGCACACCTCCACGAAGGGTCCAATTTTTTCTCCTTCGAAAATTCCATTTTGTAGATTATAGTGAAATTGAAACAGGTTTAATCTGCGATGCATACCAGTTCGTGTATTAGTGAAAGGAAACTTGGATTGTGAATCACTTGCAGTGGTGCTTCAACTTTTAACAGCGACCATCGAGTGGAAGAATATCGCCTGGGATCACCAATTAATTCCAAAAATTGTCTCATTTATTTATTCAAAATATCTGCGGATTTTTATTTGCTTGCGCGTTAAACTTATATGTAAATTGTCATAAGAAGCATTTGAAATCTACAGGGTAATAAAAATAAACTCACCAGAAGCTGGTTGGGGACTGTTGCTGTTCACGAGTCCTGTGCTCGGCGATGACTTCCCGGATTGCACGGCTTTCTTAAACTTCATTCGTCGATTTTGAAACCAAATTTTAATCTGTCTCTCTGTCAAATCCAGCTCAGCAGCCATCTCTAATCTTCTAGGCTTGCACAAGTACCGGTTGAAGTGAAATTCCTTCTCTAATTCCACCAACTGGGCGGAAGTGTATGAAGTTCTCGCTCGCTTCGTCGAGTTCTCGCCATCTGCAAGTAAAACATAATAATGATATTTCATTAAATCAAAAATACCAACAAATCTCTGAAAAGTTTACTCAGTTATACACGCTCAAGTAAAAATACACTCAAAGTAAAGCGAAAGACTCTTTAGATGAACCAGCCGATCAGCGATTTGGCGGCCTTGTTGCCAAACCGCGTTGCGAATCGGCGTCGCGACGTGATTCTATTGCACCTGATTTCCGTTCGATTGCCAATAATTCTGCGACACATTTGACTCTGCTGCTTGAAGACCGGCACTTCCGAAGTAATGGTGCCCGTAATAGCCGAGTCCTGGGTGGGATTGTTGAGGAAGTTGTGGATTTTTCGTGTAGTCATAACCGGAAGCAGGTTTGGCGTGGTATGTCGGATATCCGACATGGTGGCTGGACATCAAAGGTGCTTCTTCAGTGCAAGGCATGCTGTTGGTGTTTCTTCCAGCAATTGTTCCACTGATTGGTTCCGTTTGGCCGGTGTTTCGAGCACAACTGCTGAGCACTCTTTTGATTATTGATTTGGGTCTCACTATAGTTCAGAAAAGCATGGAAATTTTCATCAATGATCATAATTTGAATAGACAGCTAAGGTACAATACCCCAAGAAAACTGTGCAGATTATTATATTTATGTTCAGGCTCTTCAGACAGACGCGATAAATTTAAAAGTTGGGGTGCATTGCTGATGGAACAGAAATCATCTGGAATTTTGTTAAAGCATCGCATGATGTGATTCATTGTTGTTTTAATTAAAATTTGTTTTCGTTATTTCTACGGTTTCAAAAGACACTGCGGTATGTTCATACTTATTCACTTGTGGCTCAAAATTTACTGACTGAATTTCAATACGGTAGAAACACACTTTTTCACGCTTGAATTTTCAATGCACTCAGTTCTGCAGACCGACCAAATCTTTGAAATTGCTATAAATGTTCTTGAAACACAATACTTATTAAATAAGTTCCCATTTGATTTGATGCTGCTCACTTAAAATAAAATAACATTTTATTGACGCACCAACATCAAGGTGAGTAACGTTCAATAATTTGAGCTGAATTTATAATCTGCGCTACATTCATTCAATCACTTTCAATCAAATCAAAATAATATGCTCCTTTCTCTTCATTTTTATTGGAAATTTAGCCCGCGTTCGAATTAATATTCTCTAATATTCAAGATCTGTATTTGATCTGGTCGAATGTTAATCAAATCTCACTGGGTTCGCTACGAAAAATCACTGGTGGAAAATTGGGACCTTTCTGGAATCCTCCCTGGGGCGAAGTGAGGACCAGGGACTGTGCTTGGAAGGGCTGTCATTTGCAAGTGAACCCAAGTTGTTCACGGCGTGGGCGTTTTCACAGGGTACAATAAAACCCGGTCGAGACGCCCCCGCCCCCCAAAATAAGCCGCCACCTTCCATCGGGGCTCGGCGGTCCCCGATGGCGACCGGCGCCGATTTCATTTCAACGCATTTAAATCGGCGGCTGCCAATTTCTTTCTAAAAACAAATTTTACCCAATGAAAATCATTCTTTTATAAGTAGCAAAACGTTGTACAATGTGGCGCTTCCGAAAAATTTGGAAAAATGTAATAATTTTATCTGTATGAATTTGTGTGTTCAACATGTATGCTTTTCATTCTACCACAATAACTTATGAGATTGCATACAGTACAGCATCAAGGGATAAATGCTTAAATGATGGCTATACTTTATAAAGTTGAAATTAATTTCTACTGGGTTTCAGGACTTGAAAATTCTCAATGCATCTTTTAGTGAAATAATCACTATTTTTAAGTAAGCCGCAAAATATTTAATTTTATCTTACTGGATCTAAAATACACATAGAGCGGGTTTTAAAATATGACTCCTCTCGTTTTCATAATAAATTCAATTTAAATTTCTATCTTTCTGACGTCTCTTCTACTAAGATCGCTGGAAGGACAGTTCTGCACCCTTAAAACCTCGACAACTTTGCATCGATAAAACTTTAAAATGTGTGAAATAAATATTTTCAACTGCATGCAGTATTGAGCACTGGATCGTATTTTTTCCAAGAACCTAAGATTTTTGAATTTTTTGGGACTTCATTATTCTTACCCAAAACCGTGTGCAGAATATTTTTCCCATGTGCAGTAACACACTCTCATGCTTGAATAACTTCATCACCTCCCAGTATTTTCAACTCATTCCTCATCTCACGTTCTTGGGTGAATGAATGGATAGATGAATGAATGAATGAATGAATGAAATAACGGATGAATGAATTAAGCAAGAGATTTAGGCTGCATCAGCAGCTCTGATTACTCTCCTGGAAGTAACCCCGTGAACCTTCAATGAATGACGCATTCCAGGCGGATTTTCCCATGTGTTTCCCGCGCCAGAGGCTTTCATTCAAACTCCTCGCCCGCGGAATATTCTCAGGAGTCTTCGAAGGTTACGTGACGCTTGTCTTCTTATACCTCCCACAGGAAAATAGGAGGCAACAATAAAAAACACCAGAAGCCAGGTCAGTTGCTGGGATTCGGAGGGGGAGGCTCACCAGTCCAGGGTCCCACCGGCGCCAAGGGATTTGGAAGNACCCAAAACCGTGTGCAGAATATTTTTCCCATGTGCAGTAACACACTTTCATGCTTGAATAACTTCATCACCTCCCAGTATTTTCAACTCATTCCTCATCTCACGTTCTTGGGTGAATGAATGGATAGATGAATGAATGAATGAATGAATGAAATAACGGATGAATGAATTAAGCAAGAGATTTAGGCTGCATCAGCAGCTCTGATTACTCTCCTGGAAGTAACCCCGGCAACCTTCAATGAATGACGCATTCCAGGCGGATTTTCCCATGTGTTTCCCGCGCCAGAGGCTTTCATTCAAACTCCTCGCCCGCGGAATATTCTCAGGAGTCTTCGAAGGTTACGTGACGCTTGTCTTCTTATACCTCCCACAGGAAAATAGGAGGCAACAATAAAAAACACCAGAAGCCAGGTCAGTTGCTGGGATTCGGAGGGGGAGGCTCACCAGTCCAGGGTCCCACCGGCGCCAAGGGATTTGGAAGGGTCATGAGCCAGGATTAGCGGGGACAAAAAAGGCTGAAAGCCAGTTTGCAAGCAGTGCTAATCGGCAGACGAAAGCCTTTCCCACAACAACACACCAACAATGATCCCAGGACCGGATAACTGCATATGGACAGGTCACAATTGGACGCGCGGGTGTGATGTCCAGACACCACCACCGCGGGCGTGGAAAATTTTGGCGACTGTCGTTTATTTTTCAGGCAAATTTATTTCATTTTATTTTCTATATTCACCAAATGTTTCTCTCATCAGGAATTTCATCAGATTTCTTCTCGCCGCTAAATATTCCGACAATTTGAAAATTTTTTTCCTAGCATTGTGTTGCCGATTGGTTGTCGGCAGCGGTACTTCGACGATTTCTGGAGTTGGGATGTTTTTTATAATTGTTTGCATTATTTACCTTACATTTTTCATGTAAGGTGTACAGAGGGTAGAATCTTCTTCAAGCACAATATGCTGTTTTCATTATTATGCTATCACAATTGAAAAGCAAAATATCTATTTTTTTTTTTTTTGCTTGGAAATAATTCCTGCTCATCCCTGGTCTGAAATAAAGCTTCGTACCGCATTTTATATTCCGCTCACAGAATTCATGGAAGCAAAAATGTGATGACAGAAATAGAAGCGAACTTTTTCGAAGTATTTACATCGATTTTTTACGTTTATGAATTGCATGCTTTTATTCTGGTCCTGAAAGACTTTTTTTTTTAATCCAAGAGCATTTCGCCTAAGACAGCAAGTATACTCTCTATGAAAATGTAGTTTAATTTTGTATGCAGGAGAAAATCCCGTGCGGCCGAAAATCCCCTAGGCCCAAAAATTTTGCAAGGTCCAAAAATCCCGTAGGTACAAAAATCCCGAAAAATGAATTTTCGTATCAGAAAAACCTCGTTTGAAAACTACAGAAGGCAATAAACAATTAAAAATTATCAAGGAAGTCTAAACACAGTTATATAGTGATATTTCATTTTCAATCTTAATACAGTATTCAATATACAATACATGATGTAGGAAATATTTTTAAAAACTCTATAAAAAGTCCACGAATATTCAACTCGACAAGATTTCCACCCAAATCGCACCTTAATTTCCAACTTAATTTCATTCCAATATGTTTTCCTGCAAACTATTTCCTCACGATTAAAATTTAGTACAAAACATCACTGATCTTGCAAGAATATTTTTCGAGATTATTATTTTTTGCTTGAAAAGAATGGCGCCGTGAGAATATGTTCGAAGGAGAAAATTCCAGGAAAAATAGCTCAAGGAAAAGAATTCCTGAGAAATACAGAGAGAAAAATCCACGGAATGTTCTCCTGAACCCAAAATTCTATCCTGGTACTGTATATAGATACAAGGCTTTAAGTGAAAGTTGAGATAGGTTAAATGGGCTGGTAGGTTAATTAAACGATAAAATTTTATTCTTATTTTTGAATTCCGGACAGAGCCTTCAATTCGAAATAGATGTTGTTTTCATCGAAATAATGCTCAAGAATTCAAATTTTAAAGAAGAACCGTACAAAACATTGTAGCACCGAAACAAACAAGGTGACCCACGAACTGGAGCCAGTCAGCACTCGATCATCTCAGAGACCTCCACGTTTGACATTCCCGCTTTCTTTCCTTTGACCGGGTTCATCATTGACCTGCCCGCCAGTTCATGTGTGGGGAATAAGGGGAAGGCATGGATCATGATTGATTGCTCACTTGTCTCCGAACCAGTGACGCCGGGAATAACGGGAGCTTCCTCTTATTTATTTGTTCATTCAAGGTTTTCACCTGGAAGGTGAGATTTCGATTTCACGACGCGTTTTTCGCGTCTTGCGTGGGCAAGGCCCACACAGCAAAAACTGATGCCATAGCCCGATATCAACTGGGTGTAGCAAATTTTGGGGTGGCTTTTCGATTTTATACACAATTTATAAAAATCCCCATGCAGTATTTTGAGGCAACCAAAGCTTTTTCAAGAGATTCCTCAGCTTTTAAAATTTTTTTTTATTCTTGCTGGTAAACATTTGAAAATTAAAAAGCGTTATTGTTGCTAATACTGCAGGAGAAAATCCCGTGAGAGGAAAAATCCTGCGGCCCAAAGTTCCTATGTTGCCAAGAATCCCGTAGGCCGAAAAATTTTGTGGGGTACAAAAATCCCAAAAAATCGATTTTTTAAATAAAAAAATCCTCCTTTGATAACTTCATTAGGCAATGGTGTGTAAACAATTTCTAAATTATTGAAGAAGTTCAGATACTGTTTGATAGTGATATTTCATTTTGTAAAATTGCAATCTTAATATTTAATATGCAGTACATGATAAAAAAGCATAAAAATATATTTATAGAAATTCAAAAAGTTTTTAATTACAAGATTTCCACCCAAATTGATTCAAGTTTTTTCACTTCAGAAGGAAACGTTGAAATGTGATATATATCATTGAAATAGTACACAGTTTATATGCATTTTAAACGGCGGGATGAAGGCAACATTTTTTTGCAGGCTTCCTTTCTCTTGAGAAAGGCGAGGAAATTAATGTGAGGTTTTATTGAGAAAAATAATTCCTAAACCTTCCAAACCCTCGGAAGGAATTAAAACCCATCCACTTTCATGATTTCATAATCCACCTAATTGTCATTTCTTCCAGGCAGTAGGACGGAAAACCCAGAGGCAATGTTACAAATTTGCAGTACACAGGGTTGTTTTACCTGAGGGATTTTTGGACCCCCGCAATATTTTTGGCCTACGGAATAATTGGCCTCGCAGGATTTTTGAATCACATGATATTTTCTCCAACAGAATTTCATCATGGAGCTTTTCAAAAATTCCGCAGGATCAAACATCCCTAAGCTTGAATTTACCTATGCATAAAAAATGTCCTTTGATAAATATTGAACAGCCTTTGATAAATACAGTACATTAGGTACTGACCAAAAAAGTAAAAGGTTATCCTAAACCTTCCAAACCATTGTAAAGAAAACCCACACAGCCCTTTCACAATTTCAGTATCCTGTAGATTTTCTATCCTGGGTGCAGGAGAAAATCCCGTGGGAGAAAAAATCCCGCGGCCCGAAAATCCCGTGCAGCCGCAAATCCCGCAGGCCCAAAAATCTCGCAAGGTCCGAAAATCCCGTAAGTACGAAAATCCCGAAAACCAAGACTCATTTCCACAATTTTGTGGTACACCAAATTTTTGTTCCCGCCCGACTTCTATATAGACTTACACAGTTATCGGCCGCACAGGATTTTTGAGCTTCAAGATTTTTCCTCCCAGGGGTTTTAATCATGGAACCACCATGATATGAAATTCGCAGGATAATATTGACAGAACCCAGGAAAAAATATTCCGCTTCTAAGCTCAGGTGGGCCATACAATTAGCTTCACTCTGGACCTA